GCTGGGACCTTGGGCATGCTGGAACTCTTTAAGGTTAGACAGTCTGTCTAAACTTGTTTTTCTAGTTCTGCTTGCACACTAAGTTCCTCTCTAGCCGCCATTGACTTGAAAACAGTAGTCACGTACAGGACACTTTATTTGGAACATATTAAAAACCATATAAAAACCTTTTCATATCCCTCCTSTTGTTACAAATAAAGAAGGTAAAAACAAACAACAAAAAGGTGTRAAAWWARTAACACYTCAAACAAAACAACGTTCTCCTAGAATTATATGAAAATGATGAAATGAGTGAATAGATGCGACTCTAAATAATACTAGTGAGCCTAAATAAAACRTACAACAGGACCTTAAAGAAAGTCAGGTCCCTAAAGATAAACGAAAGGAGTTACTTTACCACTGAGGATCAGATGCCGTGTCTGTGTCTGTGTCTGTGTCTGCCTGTGGTTCATCTGTCATGGGGAGGAGTGCATAAACTTGATCTTGGACTGGTTGAATAGCTGCGGTAATKACCCGATTAACCAAACCACRAATGCAAGGGACAAAACAACATCCACACAAGGTGAGGAATGCTGCATACACAGCCACTGAGATCATAATTGATGAAATCAGTGTTCTATATTTACCCAAACATGCTCATCCATGAGTCCCACATAGTGGTGTCAACGCCTGAAATGCTCTTTCATCTTTTTGTTCAGGGTCCTCAGACCATCCAAGGCCCTGGTCAAGCTTCGGTCAGGAGCGGTGTTGTTGGGTATGAAGGTGCAACACTGCTCTCCAAAAAGGGAGCAAACACCTCCTCTTTCAGCCAACAACATATCCAGCGCAATCCTGTTCTGAAAAGCCATCAAAGATGTAGCGGCTAGCTGCTCATGGATAGCTTTAAAGCCTAATTCTGTTGCGTTTCCCAAACACTGCACGTTGAAATGGATGTCCAGATTCTTGTTTGGAGTAATCGGGATTACCGCAGCTATAAGGGGCGAAATGACGTGGATCAAAATCTAGACAGTAAAATGAATAAGACCTTAACTTACGAGATACCAACAAATCATCCATCCATCCATCCATTTTCTTCCGCCTATCCGGGGTCGGGTCGCGGGGGCAGCAGCTTCAGAAGGGAGGCCCAGACCTCCCTTTCCCNCTCCTAAATCACTCGTACGCACAATTTAAGAACAAATCTGTGCGTACGAACGGTTCTTGCATGAGGCCAAATGTCCCAACACAAACGAGTTACATCTAAAAACACACGCGCACACACCCAGAGAGAAAAACAAAATTTAGAAAAAAAGTCAAAAACACTTATTTCAGACAGACAGTTCGTGCGTGAAAATGATGATGAATAAATTATACAATTGTAGTTTAAAATAATATTACTCAAAATCACATCAGTTCTCCATCTCATCCTCATATATAAACAAAAATGCCCTTATTCTTTGAACAAAGGCTAGGGGTACACCAGGTGTCATATTCTGTAAGCACACAGATTGCAATAGTCTCTGCTGCTTTATAGCAAAAGTTCATTCACCATTCATTTAGCAATGTAATACATTCAAATGTATTACCCAGGAACTGCCTGTGAAACAGGTTTTTAGTTTTATCTATTATGTATTTATGCAAGTAACTTTATTAGCCCTGCTGCACGTCTCTGTAAGACCAACAAATTTGCAGCCTCAGCTTTACATTTCTGGTAGAAAAAAAACCTAGGAGGAACCGATGTCATCATCACCCCCCACACATGCACACACATGCACCCCCTCCTCCAAAACACCCACGAGCTGAGCCCCCACACCCTGAAACTGTGCCTCAGTTGAGATCCAGCGAGTATGAGTGGGCCAGATCGCAGGGTTCTGGACAGCTCCCACTGAGCCACTCAGGTATGGTCTTGTCGTGAGATAAAAAACCTGAAATGGCTGAGGTGAAAGCTGAGCAGCGACGAAAGATGTGACAATTTGAAATGTTTGAGGAGACATGACAGGTGTACGAAACGCGTGCAAAGCAACGGTGGAGGTCCACCCACTTTTCCAGAGTTTGTTTTAGAATGTTTTTCAAAAAACATGGGGGAAACAAGGTCAGATATGAAATACCCCACAATGTGTATTTAAATGAAAGGCCTGTGAGACTGCATACGCGGTGGTGTTTCTGCAGACTCACAGTCATCGTGTTTAGTTTTAGATTTAAAAAATATGCAAACAGTACTTCCTTATCATCACGTTTAACCATGTTTTTTTTCCTGCTGAGGACTTTTTATTATATTTAATTTTTTATATAAGTGACTGGGCTCTTTAAAATGCAGGGGACCAACTAAACAAAAATAACACAAACTCCCTCATGGCCATAATAATTGGCAAGCATTATGCAAAAGTTAACCAAACCCAATCAATAAGTAATCAGAAGTTCGTATTCCTCTAAAATATTAAGATCAATTTTCCAAGCTCAATAAGACAGATAGTCTACACAGTTGAAGACCATAATAACCTATTGAAAACATGAAAAGATAAGGTTTCAAACACCAAACTGTGTAGACACGCCTCACATAGGCAAAACATTAATTATGCAATAACACCCAGAGGTCAAAATAATGCCTGTCAAAAACATAATCCAAGAGAAAAATAAAAAAAATAAACTAAAATTAAGAAATAATCAGCTTCACCCTTAAAGCGAACATTAGTTACTAGAGGAAAAGATAGACAGACAAACAGAGTTAGCACTTTGTGCAGTGAATAATAGTAATCAAAAACAAACTAATATAGCCTTTGTCAAATAATGTAAATAAACCAATCAAACCAAAATAAAGAAAAATAAAAATAAAAAATAAATATAAGCAGCCAAGAACTCAGGGCCCTCGTCCTAAACATACTGTAAATTAAAAGCCAAAATTCAAAACTAAAGGCTTTTCCACATGTGAGGCCTAAAATGACAGAAAATGTTGCCACAGAGAACAAAAGGCTTTTTTTCACAAACAGACAATAAAAATTAAAGAATTTGATGTGGCTCAAAACTATAGACAAATTCTCCTCTTTTTCTTTTCTTTTTTCCCCCCAAGAATGTATGAACATGTGTCGGTGTTTTACTCATCTCTTCATGGGAGGGCGGACCCATTTTGGATTTTCTGTCCCTCGGCCCGTCCGCATTTTCCCTCAGCAGTTTAATCATGTCTAAACTGCCTACACTCACCAAAACAAACAATGTCCTCTTGGCTACCTCAAAACAGAAAACTAAGCTCCCTGTTTTGACTAGATTAGGAATAAAACTGCTCCCAAGTCTACCTTAGCTAAAATCAACAACCACAGAAGCGACCATACGAGCATCTAACAATTAGAATTTCAGTGTGTGGTGGGCTGAAAATAGCCGTAGCATTTTGCATAAGGCGCTAATGAAAATATTAGCTCACAGTGTTTCTGTCACAGACAGGTTCTTTTCAGCTCCAGTCCCAAAAGTCACCCACAGCGGCCGAAGCGAGGACAGATCCCAACCCGGACACGATCGGCAGAGGAAAAAAAAACTTAAAACAGGCCAGCTTTCTCAGAAGCTGAAAAAACACCAAAATGCCTTCTTCTTTCTTGCCCAGTGGTCATCCGAGAATGTCAGCTGCAGCGGGCAAACTCCGGTCCTTTCATACATGAGCAGTTCTAATATTAACAGGTTCATCAACAGTCACCCAGTTAACTGTGTGAGTTGGAATGTGAAATCCCTCAATGGTCCAGTGAAATTTAGGAAAGTTATGACACATTTAAGACAACTTGATGCTAACATTACTTTTTTGAAGGAGACCCATTTGCGTGAGGCAGACAGTGCAAATCTAAGCAGGCGCTGGTCTGGTCAGGTGTTTCAGTCTAATTTCCAATCTAAATCGAGAGGGGTGGCCATCTTAGTTAGTAAACAGGTGYAATTTACGGCATCCAGTGTTAAAACGGACGCTGCTGGATGTCATGTTATTGTAGTGGGAAAACTATATGCACTTCCTGTCATTTTAGTCTCTGTATATGCTCCAAATTGGGATGATCAAACATTTTTAGTATGCTTTTTTCAAATTTACCTAATATTTCAACACATAATCTCAGAATTGGGGGAGATGTGAACTGTGTGCTATCATCCCTCGATCGTAGGACAGTGGGGAGAATCTCTCTTTCTAAATCGGCCCAGTCAATTAATTAATTTCTTAACACCTATGGAGTGGTTGACGTGTGGTGTTTTCGTAATCTGACCCTGAGACGGTTTTCGTTCTTTTCCCCTGTTCATAAGAGCTTTTCACGGATTGACTATTTTCTCCTTGATAAACGGATTTTACCTTTAGTGAGTGAATGTGATTATGGAGCGATAGTCATTTCTGATCATAGTCCGCTCATAATGAAACTGAACATTCCTGTTATGCAATCGGTCTATCGTCCTTGGCGACTTAATCCGATACTTTTATCTGACGAAGACTTAGTTGATATGCTTGCTTCTGAAATTAAGTTTTTTATTGACGTTAATCGGACCCCTGGGATGCAACTTAGCACTGTTTGGGAGTCATTAAAGGCTTACCTGAGAGGTCAAATAATCTCTTACTGTGCAAATAAAAAGAAGAAAAATATCGAACGGCTAAAATCGCTAACAGATCAGATTTTACAATTAGACAGGGAATGCTGCCATGCTTTTACACAAGACTCACTTAAGAAACGTACATTACTCCAAACAGAGTTTAACATCTTATCTACCCAACAGGCCGAATATTTAATATCCAAATCTAGGAATGGCTACTATGAGCATGGTGAGAGGGCTGGATGCCTTCTTGCACGGCAGCTATGGCAGCGCTCAGCTAAACAGGATATCTCAGCAATAAATGATAAGCATGGTGTCAAATGTTGTGTGAATGCAGGAATTAATCTGTGTTTGAGCAAATTTTACCAATCTCTGTATACCTCCGAAGCCTCACCTAACCCTACTGAATTGGATGATTTTTTAAAGATATTAAAATCCCTTCACTAAGTTTTGACCTATCTAACGAGTTGGAAAGAGATTTCTCTTCATCTGAGATAAACTCTGCAATTAAAAACATGCAAAATAGAAAATCTCCAGCACCAGGTGGTTTCCCGGCAGAATTTTTTAACAAATTTTCGTATCTACTTTCTCCCCTGTTTTTATCAGTTTTTGAGGAATCCTTGGCTACACAATTATTGCCACTGTCTATGTGTCAAGTAGTAATTTCCTTGATTTTAAAGAAGGATAAAGACCCCTTGAGCTGCAGTTCATATCGCCCAATATCACTTTTAAATACTGATGTAAAAATTCTTACAAAGATGTTGGCAAAATGAGTTGTACAGATTATCCCCAAAATTGTTTCACCTGACCAGACCGGTTTTATTAAGAATTGTCAATCCATCTTTAATATCAGGCGGTTGTTTAATGTGCTGTATACTTCTGCTCTGCCCGGTCACAATTGCAATGAAATTTTAATCTCACTGGACGCCGAGAAAGCTTTTGACCGGGTGGAGTGGAACTATCTTTTTAAGACCTTGGAGATGTTTAACTTCGGTCCTAAATTTGTTTCATGGGTGAAGCTGATATATACCTTGCCAATAGCAGCAGTATGTACTAACAGTAATCTATCCAGCTATTTTGAATTGGAACGTGACACGAGGCAGGGGTGCCCACTCTCGCCACTCTTATTCGCAATCACGATTGARCCACTCGCAGTGGCTTTACGGAACAACCCTAAGATTAAAGCTATCAATCGGTTTGGCACTGAACTTAAAGTTTACTTATACGCTGATGATACTCTTCTTTATATCTCAGATCCCTTGTCTAGTATTCCTGAGTTAGTTTTACGTCAAAAGTTTGGAAACATACTGTATCTGGTTACAAGGTTAACCTTCAAAAAAGTGAATTGATGCCTGTGACCCCAATAGAAGAGCAGTATATGGATCCAGTTCCTTTCAAAATTAGCTCTGCCAAATTTAAATACCTTGGTATTTGGATTACTCACAGTCACAAAGATCTTTATACAACAAACTTTCTGCCTCTCCTGGTGAACCTTAAGAAGGACATCGCTACATGGGCATTCCTGCCTCTATCCCTTGGGGGGTAGAATAAACATGATCAAAATGACAAAATTGCCCAAATTATCTATTTCAGAACTTGCCAGTGTTCCTCACCAGGACTTTCTTTACATATTTAAATAGTGAATTGTCGTCCTTTATTTGGAATAAAAAGCATCCACGGATAGCCAGTAAGATGTTACAGTTACCCCATGGTCTTAGTGGCTTGTCACTCCCCAACTTTTTATATTACTACTGGGCGGCCAACATTAGAGCTTTACTGTACTGGTTGAGAGAGGAAAATCCTGTTCTCTGTGGTGGCACAATTTACCAAGAATGCAAAAACACGTTGGAATAAATGCACAGAAAGTCTGCGTGTATGGCCGTCAAATGATTTAATTTGAGCAAGAGAGCAGAAGTCAGTCAGAGAAGTCTGTCAAGTTGTGGCTGGTGCGTCAGTGCAGAACAGCCGATAATGTAACATCCTGTGACATGCTTACAACCAATCACAGTTCGCCAACTGTGAAGCATCTAACCAATGACAGAGCTGTCAGCTCGGAAACACCTTATCAATAAGAGAGGTCATGCATTTGCTGGAGTCTTTAAGTCGAAGGCTGTTAGATTAACTCAGCCGAAACTAGTTATCACAGGATATGATTACTGGACAGTGTCAAGGTAGAAAAGATATAATTATTCCATAACACTCTGTAAACAAACAGCCAGCTGAATAAGACTCGCACAGAGGACCTATCCATGTCATCATTTACCCAGAATGCTTTGAGTATAAATAAAATGGCCCCGTCCGTGTAATATATTTTAACACTTTGTTTAAAAATGATAAAAACTGAACAACCTACAGTATTTTTACAGTCTTTATTTTACATTTAAAAACTATTTTTATTAAATAAAGTCTAATGCTAGTCATGGATCCCTATAAATGTCTCTTTAAATTTAATACATATTGTTTATGTATTCTGTAGTGTTGACTCGTTAATTCCGAATTGTTCTATTTTTGCAATAAATTACCAAAAAGACAATCTGGTTTTATCTTCATTGAATATCATTTCAATGGGTTCCATGAATCTTATGATCTGATTTACCTCTGATTTAAAAACGTTGAATAAATTATCAATCAGTAAATCTAGTCTGGTGCATTGCACATGTGAGCACACAGTTGATGGTTGTCACTTTTGAGGTGCTGAGGGAGCAGCTGAGGGGTTTAGGGGCTCAGGGTTGGGCTGGTCAGTCCAGGGAGTTGAATTGGCGATCTTTTGAGCACAGGCTAAACTTCTCTAATCTCTGTGCCCCCACTCCTCATTCATTCTTGATTAATTAGATGTTCTGTGTGAAAGAGAGCTCATGCAACCTTTTTTGTGTATGTACACCATTGATATATAAAGTCCACATGATGATCAACTAAAAGTCCACTATTGAAGATGTGTTCCAAAAATCTTCACATTTTAAGTTGTAGGCAATGAAAATAAGGGGATTTTAGTTGACATGCACCAGCCTGTGACTTGCCCTTTGAGTACCAGCTTTAAACAGTAAAGTTTCTGAGACTAAATTAGAGATGACCCTCAAGATATGAAAAGCAGATGTAATTCTGTGTGCAGTTTAGAATGTGATGCTTTTATACAGTCTTTTCTGAGAACAGCACCACATACAATGGTAAAAGTTACTGAACTTATATAGCGCTCTCAAATCCTTCCAGATCCCAAAGCCCTTTACACTTACAGTCATTCACCCAGTCACACGCTGATGATGGCAAACTACGTACATTGTAGCCACAGCTACCCTGGGGAACACTGACAGAAGCGAGGCTGCCATGCACCAGTGCCACCAGAACCTCTGTCCACCATCAGTAGGCAAGATGGGTGAAGTGTCTTGCCCAACTGAGATGGCTGGACCAGGTATCGAACCGGCAAACTTCCGGTTCCAGGACAACTCCCCTAACCACTCCACCACAGCCGCCACAGTGGAAGTTGAGCTCTTCTCCTGCCCCACAACAGCTGCCTTGAATATAATCCCCTTGCTATTTTGCACCTTTTGTTTCTAGCAGGTCCTATAGTAATTTTCATTAAAAACCAAGGTATAATTTGCTTGATTTACTCACCTTTTCGGCTAAAACTACTGTTTTTGCTTTCCAACAATATTCATAATGTGTAATTAGGTTGTATTTTAATCTGTAAAAAATTATTTTCTGAATACCAACAGTGGTACTTGTAACATATTTTGAGAACTAGCAGAGTCCAGCTTTATCTCAAGTTAGCGTAGAAAAGAAAGGGTTATTTAAAATTCCTACTATGGTCACACAGCTGGCTTTAAAAAAAAGTTAAATCTAGAATTTTATCTGCCAGTTTACACTGACTCCTGAACCATGAAACATTACTGTTTAGACATGAAAGAAAACATTGCTTCCCACCTTCTGTTGTTTTATCCAAGTCCCCTGTGTGATTTGTGTTTCATCAAATTCATTCTTACATTGTTTCTATTCCATTTTAATTTTGTCTACATCACACACCCCACCCCATCATCTCTCCCACTCATGTGCTCATGTCCTTGTAGTCTGGAATGGGTCAACTACCCGGGGTGTGGTTTTTGCCCTCTGTGGCAGGTACTTCCATTCCCCAACGGATACTAAGGAGCTGCTCTACGACCCAGCGTCCGTGATGAATGGTGACACGCTCAAATTCTGCCAGAAGGAGGCCTGGTGCAAGCTGTTCTTCTTTGTCTTGTCCTTCTTCTACTATCTCTACTGGTGAGCACAGGACACGTGGTATCATCTGTAAACACTACAGCAAATAGACTGACACTAGATTAGGTGTATTTATTCTTAACCAAAGCTACTCGAAAATGCCTGCTATAAAACTGTTGCATAATCCCAGCTTTAAAAAAAATGGTTTGGGTTTTTACTACCACACTTAACTTTGGTTTGGTTCCTCAGATCTGAAGAAAGTGTGTGCAAATCTCTGAATGAAGTAACTATTTCTCTGAAATTCACATGGTACTTTATCAATGTACTACATATTTATTTAGGGTAGCTACTATTTACTGATAGGCCTCCTTCTTCTAGTGCATGTGGCGTAAAGAGAATTAGATTCTTTACTTCATTGAAAAGCACCACTTTAAAGTGAAGGAAACCTTGCCACAAACAGTAATTGTTCAAACATTCCTCCATCTGTTTTTGCAAAATATGTTTATACTGTGTTTTTAACGATATGTGATATGTAATTGTAGTGTTTCTGAATGATTCTACTAAAATTGTCCACTTTTATGTTATAATAATGTTCACAGTTTTCCTGTTCATGTTTAACAATGCTGTTATTAATCACTCTGGATTCATCTCCCATTTGCCATATGGGTGCTGCAGTGTATGGACCCTGGAAATATCCCTCTATTAGGTCTTTTCAGTGGAAACTCTTGAAGGTACAATCCTCATTTTTTTTTTTTGCTATTTTTGTTATGTGATACCAAATTTAGGCTGCTTAACATTATTAATAAAAAAATTTGATCTGGTCAAAAAACTGGTAAACCTTAATTAGAATTTGGCCATGAAAAGCTGTTGTGTAAATTTTTTAATTATTTCAATGATTTTGCCAGTTAATATTGTAATATTTATTTATTTTTTAGCAGCTAAAATAAAGATTTTTTGTTGACAAAACAAAATATGGCAGTAAAAACTGACAAAAAAGTGGAGCAACTGCATCTTCATATTTCTAAAGTAGGGGTGCACATTTATGTCAACTTTTTTATAGCACATTAAAAACAACTGATGTTAATCAAAGTGTTTTACAATTGAGTCAAACAAAATGTCAAAACAACAATAAAACAACACAATAAACATCAAAAGCACAAGTAAAATAAGAAAATAAAATACAGTAACCCAATAAAACATGTTAATCTATTTGATTTTACTCTGTTTAAATAAAACACCAAAGAAAATTGGGTCGGACTCTCCAATCTCTGGTGCTGAGGTCATCAATGTGGTTAAAAAGCTCCTCAGTGGCAAGTCACCAGGGGTGGATAATAATTGCCCGGAGTTCCTTAAGGCTCTGGATGTTGTGGGGTTGCGTTGGTTGATGCGACTCTATAATTTTGCATGGACATCGGGGCAGTTCCCCTGGATTTGCAGACCGGGGTGGTGGTCCCCCTATTTAAAAAGGGGGACCACAGAGTGTGTTTCAACTATAGAGGGATCATACTTCTAAGCCTCCCTGGTAAGGTCTTTTCAGGGGTCCTGGAGTGGAGGTTCCATCAGATCGTCAAGTCTTGGATTCAGGAGAAGCAATGTGGTTTTCATCTTGGTTGTGGAGTAGCAGACCAGTTCTACACCCTCAGTAGGGTCCTGGAGGGTTCATGGGAGTTCGCCCAACCAGTCTACATGTGTTTTGTGGACTTGGAGAGGGCGTACAACCGTGTCCCTCGGGGACTCCTGTGGGGGGTACTCTGGGAGTATGGGGCACTAAGCCCTTTGATACAGGCTGTTAAGTCCCTGTACGACCGATGCCAGAGTTTGGTCCTCACTGCAGATAGTAAGTTGGACTCATTTCCAGTGAGAGTTGGACTCTACCAAGATTGTTCTTTGTCATTGATTCTGTTCATAAATTTTATGGACAAAATTCCTAGGTGCAGCCAAGGTGTTGAGGGTATCTGTTTTGGTGACATTAGAATTGCATCTCTGCTTTTTGTGGATGATGTGGTCCTATTGGCTTCTACAGATTGTGATCTCCAGCTCTTACTGGAGGATCTGTGCCTCCAAATCCGAGACCATGGTCTTGAGCCAGAAAAGGGTAGGGTGCCTCCTCTGTGTCGGGGAGGAGGTCCTGCCCCAAGTGAAGGAGTTTAAGTATCTCTGGGTCTTGTTCATGAATGAGGGAAGAATGGAGTGAGAGATCGACAGGCGGATTGGTGCTGCATCTGCAGTGGTATGGGTGCTGTACCAATCCGTTGTGGTGAAGCGAGAGCTGGGCCAAGAGGCAAAGCTCTCTATTTACTGGTAGGTCTACATTCCTACCCTCATCTAAGGTCACAAGATTTGGGTAGTGACCGAAAGAACATAATTCTGGGCTCTCCCTTAGAGAGTGTGAGAAACTCGGTCATCCGGGAAGGACTCAGAGTAGAGCCGTTGCTTCTCCACGTCAAGAGGAGCCAGTTGAGGTGCCTCGGGTATCTGGTTAGGATGCCTCCTGGACGCCCCCCTGGTGAGGTGTTCCGGGCATGTCCTACTTGGAGGAGACCCAGAGGAAGACCCAGGACAAGCTGGAGGGACTATGTTTCACACCTGACCTGGGAACACCTTGGGATTATCCCGTATGAGCTGGTCCAAGTGACTGGAGAGAGGGAAGTCTGGGTCTCTCTTCTTAGGCTGGTGCCACCCGACCCGATCCCATATAAGCAGAAGAAAACAGTCAAACAAATGGACCAAAGAAAATGATGCACATTAAAATATCTCCTAAATGTATCAAAGTCTTCTTGTTGAGAATGTGTTTTGTCTTTTGTTTTGTTCATGTCGCCCTTGTGTGTCTTCTCAGTGTAATTACCACTCATCATTCCTCAGTCTGTTCTAGGTCACTCATTGTATTATGCTCACCTGTCGCTTGTTTGTAACCAGTCCCCTCTCCAGCTGTCACTCATTTCTCATTTTCTCTGTTAGTATATATTCTGGTTCAGTTCTTCATCTCGTCGCTGGTTCATTGTTTGGTTCCCCTACCATACTGTCTGATGTGTTCCGTGGTCTCCTTGAGTTTGTATTTGTTTGCTGCCTCGACAGCTTTTGATTTAATTTTGTTAAATAAATCTTTTAGTTTCTAAAACTTAACTCTCCGCCTGGAGCTGGGTTCGCTCCTCCACCACATCATCACAGAATGAACCAGCCAACTTTCGAACCCTCCAGGAGATTAAGTTTTTTGGAGTTTATTAAAAAGTAGAACCTCTTAGCTCCTCTTAGTGAGTGGGGTAAAGGACCAGATCAGAGACAGACCGGGACTCACCAGAGCAAGCAGCCACGGCGGAGCAAGCAGCCGCAGGCTGAAATCCGGGTGGGTGGTTTCTGGACCGATCCTGTTCAGCCTGCCGGGACATGGGAGCACCAGAGTCCGGAGGTCGAGGTCCTTTCGTCCCCTCTCCTTGTGGAAGAAGAGGAGAGAGTCAGGATGCAGTTTAGGGGGACTCGCCTGGCCATAAAACCCACTCACCCATCTGGTTCTTCTCGGAGCCACCGTGGCAGGCGGAGGAAGGCGGTGGTTCCTCCGGAGCCACCCGGGGTTTTCTTCTCTGAGCCCCTGGACAGCGAACTTGAGTTCGACCCGGACTATGATCCTGAGCTGGACCCATTCTTCCCCGAATACTTCGGGTACTGCTCGGCCGAGTCAATGGATCCGGTCCCAGTTCCGCCTCAGCCTCGCCCGCCAGCATCTCCCGCGAGAGGGTCCCGGACACCACCTCCACCTGTGCCACATCCGAGGAAGTCTCGGACACCTCTCACTCCTATGCCTCCTCCGAGAGGATCTAGCACTACTTGCTTCCCGACGAGGCGGGACACATTCACCTCCATATCTGCGCCAAAGAGGCGAGACGCCTCCACTGCCTCTCACCCTCAGGAGGGGGTTGAGGTGGCTACAACCACCTGTGCTCCAGCGAGGCTGAATGCGTCCATCTCCACCTCTGCTCCAGCTGGACTCAATGCAGCCACTTCCACGTGTGTTCCCCAGACGATCAACGCCTCAACTGCCCCCTGCGCTCTACTGATGGTCGATGCGTCCACCTCCTGTGGGGAGGGTCTTAGGGTGGAGGAAGTGTCTGTGACCACCCTGAAGGCTCTGACGGTGTGCATGGCAGCAGCTCTGGTGGAGCTGTTGTTCCTGCCTGTCACGGCTCCTGTGATGGTCCACGGAGCCAGAATAAGAGCCAGCGCCTGCAGCTGCAGTCCCCGCCGGGCTCATGCTGCCAACTGCAGTCGAACATCCTGATGGTCCTGCAGAGTCTCCTCCAGAGCCGGCCCCTGCAGAGTCTCCTCCAGAGCTGGCCCCTGCAGAGTCTCCTCCAGAGCCGGCCCCTGCAGAGTCTCCTCCAGAGCCGGCCCCTGCAGAGTCTCCTCCAGAGCCGGCCCCTGCAGAGTCTCCTCCAGAGCTGGCCCCTGCAGAGTCTCCTCCAGAGCCGGCCCCTGCAGTGTCTCCTCCGTTGCCGGCCTCTGCAGAGTCTCCTCCATTGCCGGCCTATGCAGAGTCTCCTCCGTTGCTGACCTCTGCAGAGTCTCCTCCGGTGCCAGCCTCTGCTGAGTCTCCTCCGTTGCCGGCCTCTGCAGAGTCTCCTCCGATGCCGGCCTCTCCTGAGTCTCACCCAGAGCTCTGCCTCTGACGCGGTCGGGTCCACAGCCGCCCCCAGAGCTTTGCCTTCGCCGCAGCCAGGTCCACGGCCGCCCCCCAGAGCTCTTTGGACCCTTCAGATGTGCATAGGGCCATCTTAGTGACTGTTTTTTGTTATTTTTTCCCAGGACTTCCTGTCGGTTTTTTGTTTTTCCATTTTCTGTGTCTTTGTTTGTGTTCCCCTTGTTGTATTTTGTCTCGTGCCCTCCGTCCTGTCTTTGTGTTTTTTAGTTCCCCCACCTCCCACCCGTGGTAGTTCTCTGAATCGTCGGAGATGATTCGTTGAGGGGGAGGTACTGTTGAGAATGTGTTTTGTCTGTTGTTTTGTTCATGTCGCCCTCGTGTGTCTTCTCGACCCAGGACAAGCTGGAGGGACTATGTTTTACAGCTGACCTGGGAACACCTTGGGATTCCCCTGTATGAGCTGGTCCAAATGACTGGAGAGAGGGAAGTCTGGGTCTCTCTGCTTAGGCTGGTGCCACCCGACCCGATCTCACATAAGCAGAAGAAAACAGTCAAACAAATGGACCAAAGAAAATGATGCACATTAAAATTTCTCCTAAATGTATCAAAGTCTTCTTGTTGAGAATGTGTTTTGTCTGTTGTTTTGTTCATGTCGCCCTTGTGTGTCTTCTCAGTGTAATTACCACTCATCATTCCTCAGTCTGTTTTCTAGGTCACTCATTGTATTATGCTCACCTGTTGTTTGTTTTGTAATCAGTCTTCTCTTCAGCTGTCGCTCATTTCTCATGTCTTCTGTTAGTATACAGTATATTCTGGTTCAGTTCTTCATCTCATCGCTGGTTCATTGTTTGGTTCCCCTACCATACTGTCTGATGTGTTCTGTGGTCTCCTTGAGTTTGTATTTGTTTGCTGCCTCGACAGCTTTTGATTTAATTTTGTCAAATAAATCTTTTATTTTCTAAAACTTAACTCTTCGCCTGGAACTGGGTTCGCTCCTTCACCACTTCATCACACTTCTTTGCAGAATATTAGGTAACTGATGACTTACTACTTTATTTCTTTCCTTGATGAGATGATGATTTTTATTCAGTATATAGTAACATTACGAAATAGCTGCCAGTGTTTACTGTTTACAGAATACGTTAAAAGACAGAGCAACCTCACAGAATTAGGAATGCATAACATAAATGTTTGAAAAATGTAAAATGTAGTGTTCTTCCCTTTTTCGTTCCAAATTCGAATTAAAAAATTTCCATTTTGACAAAAATTGGTAAAATTATTCAAAGCCCTGGGGCCCTGCCACTGCAAAGCTTTTTAACTACCTCTGTGACCTCTATTCCAGCTATAGACCAACCAAGCCCCAAGTCCCCAGACTCTGCTTCCTCCATGGAAGACATGTTGGTGGGATTGAGAAGTTCTGAAACTTTCCTTCCACTGTCCAATGATATCATTGCTCAAGGTCAACAGTATCCACTTTCCACTCCAGTGTTGGCAAAGCACTGATTCCTCTTCTTGTGCTGCCTGATGGTTTGCCAAAACCTTATCTGAGATCCAATTGAGAATTATTATCCAAGGCTTCACCTACTCCTCCCACATTTGAGCTTTAGCCTCAGCAACAGCCCACTTAGCCCACCAATATGTAGCTGATACCTGCAGAGTCCTACAAGCCAACAAGGCCAGATAGGTCTGCTTCTTCTACTTAATATTGACCCTCACCACCATATTCGAGTTTGGACATTACAAGAGGCACCAACAGTCTTGAAGCTACAGCTCAAAATAGTCACATTGATAAATGAGAAAGAGAACATGACCCACACAATTTGAAAACATGGTTCTGGCACAAGACACCTGTGTGATGAATTTAACAAATAAATGTGGAGTGCTATTAAATTATTGACACCACTTTAAATACTTAGTTTAATGAAAAAAAGAAACAAAAGCCTTATTCTATTTAAATAGTTTAGAAAATATATTTTTCTTCTGATAGCACAAAGATAAAGAGATGTAGTGCTCTCTGCTTGCATGGTAAAGAAGTTTGGAGAAAAAAGTTAAAACAAGCTAAGGTGTTATTTAGCTAAGCTAAGAAATTATTTATGTTATTTTTAGCATTTACATTATTCTTGTGGGTGCTAAATGTTGCATAGCACTTTATAAAATATTTTAGTAAATAATGGGATTACAATGTTAGACCTTACCATCAGCACATATTATGGTTTGTAGACCAATACAAAACTAAAAAAACTACTATTTAAACAGTGATAATATTATCAGTCATAAGTTCTTACGTTACTAAAGTTTAACAGAACAAAGGCCCACCCAGGTCAGTATATATGTCATGGCATTCGGTGTCAACACATGAATTGAGGTTTCAGCTTGAACTGAAGTCATTTTGCTTCTCCATCTCACTCCATCCTGCCATGCTCTGGCTTATATTGGACAGATGTGATGTTTTTTGGACCAGTGGAGGAAGCAGCAACAGTAAGTTTTTATGGAGTATGGGGTGATGGTGCACTCACTTTCAGTTCCATCAGCTTCAGAACAATTTGACCATATTTACATACTTAGCGCAAAAGTGAAAAGGGGTCTCTACAGTAACCAAGTACCACTTAGTTTCGTGGTGTGTGGGAGGAATTATTGAAAGACATGATTGGTCCGTTTAACTTTTGTGGGAGGATTTTGGAAATATGAGATTGGTTGGACTGACTAATTTCTGTGGGGTTTGAAGATGCACAGCTAGGAGGACGTGTAAGTTCAGTCAAAACAGCCAGGTAGCACTGATTCTTAAATATAAATAATTTTAGTTTAACTTGGGACAGAAAGGTGCTAGTTACACAAAATTTGAAGTCAATAAATTGTTTACAAGTTCACAATAGTTTTTATTTGAGACATTGTTCTGTAGATAGTCAATAAATAATACTTACATGTTCCCAATAATTTGACTTTTATCATTACTTCAGCTTTTAAACTGCCAACAAAGCAAGTCAATTCGACCAGTTACAGTTTTGCCAAACTTTGCCTACACCCATGTAACTCCCCCTATGTAGTGCAGAGACCCCTACTTGCAAAAAGAAAGGGAATTTGTGTTTGACAGATTATTTCTTTGTAGTAAAAATGCTTCTTGGCAATAAATATAATGGGCATATGATTGGCAGCACCTGGATGTACCAGAATCTCAAAATATGTTAATAGCAACATTAAATTAAGCTGTTTTTTCAGATAGGATTTGGCAAATTGTTTATGTGCACAGTCCACATACTCTACTGCTC